AAAAAAAAAAAAAAAAGGAACCAGAATATAGTCTATCTTGATCAATATACCATATGGACTCGAAAAAAATATGTATTCTGCAATTATTGGGTATAGTGTTTTATGAATATCACTTAGGAGGTTGGTAGTGTCTATCAGCTTATACTGTCTATACTGTGTGTTTAGCTAACACAGGCGTCAATTAATGAAAGCTGTTAAAAATCTTGTTGTCAGATGGTAGAAAAGATTCCATCACTTTTTACTTCATGTATTTCGGTGCTCTCTTAATAGGTGCAAACATTTATGATTGTTTTGTCTTTCCAATGAATTGACCCTACCCTAATAAAATGTCCTTTTTGTCTTTGGCATATTTTTTTGCTTGAAATCCATCTCATCTGATATTAACATAGCCTCTCTTGTATGGTTACAATTTACATCTTTTGCCATCCACTTACTTTTAACCTATATGTCTTTACATTTTAATTTATTTATTCTAGACAGAATTTAGTCTTACTTTTAAAATTCATTCTGAATGGGATCTAGTTAAACTTAAGAACTTCGCAGCAAAATAAACTATCAACAGAGTAAACAGAAAACCTACAGCATAGAAGACAATTTTGGTGAACATCTACCATCTATAAAGAACTTAAACAAGTTTAGAAGAAAAAAAGAAAAAATTCCATTAAAAAGTTTGGGCAAAGGGCATGAGCAGACACTTTTCTAAAGAAGACATACATGTGGCCAACAAGCATATGAAAAAAGCTCAACATCACTGATCATTAGAAAAATGCAAATCAAAATCACAACGAGATACCATCTTATACCAGTCAGAATGGTTACTATTAAAAAGGCAAAAATAACAGATGCTGGCAAGGTTGCAGAAAAAAGGGAACATTTTCCTCAAAGAGCTAAAGTAGAACTACCGTTCAACCTAGCAATCTCACTACTGAGTATATACCCAGAGGAACAGAAATCATTCTACCATAAAAGCACATGCATGTGAACATTCATTGCAACACTATTAACAATAGCAAAGATGTGGAATCAACCTAGATGCCTATCATTGATACATTGAATAAAGAAAATGTGGTACATATACACTGTAGAATTATTATACAGCCATAAAAAACCAAGATAATGACTTTTGCAGAAACATGGATGGAGCTGGAGGACGTTATCTTTAGCAAACTAGCATAGGAACAGAAAACAAAATGCCAAATACCACAAGTTCTCACTTATAAGTGGCAGCTAAATAATGATAATTCATGGACACAAAGAAGAGAACAATGGACACTGGGGCCTATTTGAGGGTGAAGGGTAGGAGGAAGGAAGAAGAGCAGAAAAAATAACTCTTGGGTTCCAGCCTTAGACTTGAGTGACAAAACAATCTGCCCAACAAACACCTGTGACACGAGTTTACCTGTACAACAAGCTGCAAGCATACCCTTGAGCCCGAAAGTTAAAAAAAATAAATTCTGGCAATCTATGCTTTTTAATGGGGATATTTAGTCTATCAATATTTAAGGTGATTATTGATATCACTGGTTTTAGGTCTAACATTAAACTGTTTTCTGTTTTTCCATTCAGACAAAATTTCCATTTGGTTCTTTTGATATTTCCTACTTCTCTAGCTAACATTTCCTGTCCACTTATTCCAAGTGTATTATTTCCTCTATCTTATGAAGCATAGCTATAACAACTGCTTTAATGTCTTTGACAGTTGCATCTGGGTCATCTTAGGATTTGCATCTGTTCATTTCCTTTTCCTTTGAGAGTAGGTCCCACTTTCACTCTTTCTATTTTGGATTGTATTCTAGACATTATAAATATTATAAAAATTCTGCCATCATTTATTTTACTCCAAAAAGTGATGTTTTTGTTTTAGGGGCAAGTAATTAATTTGTTAAGGCAAACTGGAAATTACCACACCTCAAGTAGATTGTGGTTCAGATCTTGGACCAGTTCTTTTAAGCCTTGGCTCCTAACTATAGGCTGCCCCACACAGGAGTGGTTTAGAAGTCTGGAGTTAATTTGGAAAAATTCTGTCATTAGTATTAAACTATTTCTTCGGCTCTTTTTTTTTCTTCTCCTCTTAGTATTCCCATTATACATATGTTTCAACTTTGACTAATGGACCTGGTTCTTAGGTATTCTGTTCCTTTCTTCATTTCTTTTCCTCTTTATTTTTCAGTTTGAGAATTTTCTGTTGCCATCACTTCAAATTCACTGATTTTTCAGTCTAGTCTACTGATGAGCCCAACGGCATTGTTCATTTCTGTTACAAGTTTTTGGATTTCTAGTATTTCCTTTTAAATCTTTTTAGAGTTTCCAACTCTCAGCTTATATTATCCATTTATTTTTGCATGTTGTCCATTTTTTCCATTATGGCTTTTAGCATGTTAATCATTATTACTTTAAATTTCTGGTCTGACAATTTCAACATTTCTGTCATATCCAAGTTAAGTTCTGATACATGCTCTGTCTCTTCAAACTGTGCTTTTGCCTTTTAGCATGCTTTGTAATTTCTGTTGAAAGCTAGAGATGTACTGGGTAAACAGGCTTTTAGGGTGAGGTTTTGTGTTTATCTAGCTAGGGGTTAGGATGTTTACTGTTTTCTGCAGCTGCAGTGGCTGAAACTTCCTCTGGAGTCCTTGTTTTTGTCTCCTTTGTCGTCTCTATTTCCCTAAAGACTACCTAAAAAAAGGTCTGACACTTGTAGTTCAGACCTTATGATCCCTGGAGAGGGGAAACACTGTATTTTAAGATTAGGTCTCAGTCTTTTAGTGACCCTGTGCCCCTAGGCTGTGATCTAAGTATTTCCCAGTCCTCCTACTACCCACCCCTACTTAGATGAGACAGGAAGGCTAGAGGATGTGGAGTTAGGTACCTCCCTTCCCCTGGGTGGGTTAGGCTTCAGTGAACATGTACCCCTGGAGGGCAGGCTTTCATTAACAACAAAATGCTCTGGGCATTATTTCTAAATGGCTACTTTTCCTCTCATCCTGCCAGAAGTACTTGGGGACTTTTCTCAGCTTTACACCCTCAGAATTTGGTGAGATTCCTAATCCCACACAAAAGTCTAGGGAAGCCCTCCTAAGAACGGGATGAATTTTTAACTCTCAAGTATGTCTAAACTGACCCTTTGGAAATTTGTCATCTACACTTTAAATTTTTCTACCCTAGTATTGGCTTCAGTGGCAGGATTCTGTTCATTTGTTTAGTTTTTTCCTGTGAGGACTAGAGTGACAACTTCCAGGTTCCTTTCAGGCCAAACTAAACTGGTTCAGGAGTTGGCCAGAGATATCCTGAGTTTTTACACTCCGGGTTCTTCTTAAGGGTTCCATTTCTCTTCATTTTAAGAGTTCCACTTCTCTGTTATCTTTCTTTTCAGTTCCTCGTCTTATACCCCTTATCTTCTGATGGCCCTGGTTCCTCTGACCAGAAAGAGGACTGACTTTTGTTTGTTTTAAATCAGAGCTGCCTTTAGGGGTAGAGCTACAGAAAAACAGGTGACTCATTCTGTGTTTGTCATTTGCTCCAAGTTTTGACTCCTCTCCCAAGCCTGTTTGGATTTGTTCAGTCTGCAGGACATTCATGCTGTTGCTTCTGTATTTTGTTCAGAGTTTACAGTTGTTATTTGCAGAAAGATCACTTGATTAGGAGTTCACACTTCCACACCACAAGTAGAACTTGACATTCTACTGAAGGAGAAAACAACTAACATTTTCTCCTTCCTTGCTTCAGGAGTTTTACATTCATTATCTCATTTAAGGTACAGAATGACAGTGAGGCTCAGAGATTAAATAACTCACTCAAGGTCACAAGGATGTGAGTGGTAAAACCAAGATCAGTTCCAGGGCTGTTAAACTTTAAAACTATCCTTTCTTTCTACTATATTATCTGGCATCTCTAAAGTATCAATATCTGCTAAAGACTAGGTTTGTATAATATAAAATTATTCTTCATTCACAACTCACTATAATTAACTTCAATCACATCAAGATTTAATGACAATAAAATGGGAATTCTGATCGGGAGTAAAGGTTGGAGAGGATTGGAGTCTCCAACATGGAAGAGATCTCAGTAGGTTGAGACAGAATGACTAAAAGATTTTTGAAGGCCAGGCATGGTGGCTCACCCCTGTAATCCCAGCACTTTGGGAGGCCCAGACAGGTAGATCAGGAGGTCAGGAGATTGAGACCATGCTGGCTAACACGATGAAATCCCATTTCTACTAAAAATACAACAAAATTAGCTGGGTGTGGCAGTGGGCGCCTGTAGTCCCAGCTACTCGGAAGGCTGAGGCAGAAGAATTGCTTGAACCCAGGAGGCGGAGGTTGCAGTGGGCAGAGATCGCACCACTGCACTCCAGCCTGGGTGACAGAGCAAGACTCCGTCTCAAAAAAAAAAAAAAAAAGATTTTTGAAACGACAGATCAGGGCACACAGGCACAAAACATTAAACTTCTTTACAGGGAATTTGGTCTTGTCCATCTTTGTATTCCCTTCAGGGAGTACTACAATGACTAGTAAACACAGTGCTTTAAATATTTTGAAGGAGTTAACGTGTAAATACTTTCAAGTACATAATTATGAGGACCTCATTGGATTTTCTGCAGAAATAATATATCATTGGATTTTCTGCAGAAATAATCTATGTAAAATATCTAGCATAAATAAGGTATTTAATATTTGCTCCTTTCTCTTCACTCCCTAACTAGTTTAAAATGCTGAAAATGGCAGGTTCATTTTGGTTCAAGTGGTAGTGTGCCTTAATGGATCCAATTATTTCAATCCAGTGTTTGATCACCACATACCTGCTTTTGTCATTAAATTTTGAATAAACAAATAATTGAATCAAAATCAAATTCGGTATCACTTAATTTCCAGCATCACTGACAAGAAAATAATATGCTGGCCGTAGAAAGGGGTATCCACACTACCCTGAAAAATCCTTAGGAGAATCTCATCACCAGAAGAGCTTTTTCTTTTCCCTTCATTCTCATGCTAATGACAGATGACTACTTAGAGAAGATCAAGACACAGGAAAAAGCAGATCTCACTCAGTAAGACAGTAGTGAGCAACTCAACTTATCCAACCTGTTCCAGGGCTTTTTTAGGTGCAGGGGGGTCCAACTGGTTTGATACTTTCCTAAATTCCTGTCTCTCTTAGATCAAGGTGAAAGGAAAACTTCAAAGACTTTCCAGATTCCCACTTGGGTGTGCTGGAAAGAGTTATTTATCAACTAAAGGCTGATTTTGTTCTCTTGCTCTTTTTTCTACCAGGACAGAGGTCTGGTAGAGATACCCTCTTGTGGCTCTGAATTCTCTCATTTCAATATCACAGGTACAAAAAGAACTACCTTTAGGTTACTAGGATACACAACATGCTATAATCCTTTATGCCAGGATAGTTTTATAAGTGGCTTATTCTACTTCAGTCTTTATTCCCAGGGCCTGGTAGATAGAAGTCCCTCCTTAATCTCAGCTTATTAAGGAAAAAATTATCTTTAAATATATTTTTTGATGTGTCCCCATTGTTGAGAACCCCTTAAATAATTAGAGAAACCTGTATGCATTAAGAAAAGTAGTTAAAATAGCCAATGTGTCAAAGTAAGCTTTTCTCTAAGGGGTCTTTCTACAAAATGGGAGTCTTTCTACACATAAAAATATATCAAGGTAATACCAAGGGATTAAAAATAAGGTTTCTAAGAGGATGAGCTAATTATCATTTTCACTCTTTCAGATGGTCTCTTCTTAAATCTTATTTGAACAAATCAACTCAACATTAATTTATCCAGAAAGACTGATCATATGAATTCTAATTCATCTTAAAAATGTCAAAATATTATTCAAGAGATGACTATTAGGTTCTGCATCTTGTGGTACAGGTAGCAATCTCAATGTTTATGTATTTTTTTGTTTTATAGGTTATGGGGAGAAATAGATTAGAAACAGAAAGGAAGTTACAGTGAACCAAATGCTTCCCACAGTCTGTCTGTCTGAAGGTGATAGGTAAATTCAAGTATCAATTTAGAAAACCGTACCCAAAAAAATAATGTATTAAATGGTAAATTTCATACAGGGTCACAGTCTCTTGTTCATCTCAGGACCATATATATTTCAAAAATTAAGAGATTTTGCAGTCTAGAAAGGTAATAATATCCCTAAGCAGGTTACAGGTCAGCATATGGAAATCAAAGACATTAATATTTCAGCAGTGAAAGGTATGAATATTCACACTAATAGAATAAATAAAACCATGTCAGTTCTGGTTAGGTGTCTAGATTTTGAAATTATGCAAAACTTGTATCAAATTCAGTTCAGATATATAAGCAAAAAAAAGTTTTATACCCATGATCCTAGATATACAGGCAAAAGGGGTTCTTTCCTCTGCTGAAGAAAGAAAATGGCCATAAGGGCAAACACATAAGGTGGCAGACCTCCTTCTTCAGGGCGATCTATACTGCAAAGCTACAAACAAGAGAAAAAAAGGTTAAGCATTCTTTTTGCATGAATTTGTCATTTACCCGATTTGGCCTAAAACCTGTAACTTCATTCTTATTACATGATTTATGGTAATTCTTTGGATGAAAATAGCAGTTATAAAATATACAAGTTCCTTATTTATATATAAAACTTCCTTTTGCAGCAACCACATATTGTGGTTTTAAGTCATAGTTTCAATTTTGAATATTTAATCCTGTTAACCATACTCACTCATGGACAGCCCTAAAGTATTATTTCCCATTTTATTTTTTTGATATCCATGGTAAATTCATTCATTTGGTTAGAACATATGTTAATGAATTAAAAATGACTATTCACTTGCAAATGTAAGCCAGTTCGATGGTTCTCTTACCCTAACCTATAGCCTTGATAATGCATGCTTTGGTCACAAAGGTTGATACAGGAAGAGAACATGGACAAACTCATCATCACTAATAGAAAAAACAGCTAAAAAGGCACATTCTACTTAGTGAAGAAGCAGGAGGTGGTTTTCAAAGGATAGTATATTCCAATTATCATTTACCTAGTGAAGAGTGGGACATCGTTTGTTCATTCGGGATTCAAGAAACAGGAACTATCTATTGTTATTGATATACCTGAATCAGTAAAGCTTTTGCTTTTCTCTAAAAGCACATACACAGAATTTCAATTTTATAATCATGATTCAAACTTACATTTGGTGGAATGTTAAATGTTCTACTGTTTGAGTATTTTAATTGGAATATTATATTTAAAACATTATGGAAATGTAAATAAGATCAAAGAGTATCTTCTATTTTCTGCAGTCTCTGTGTATGTTACTGGATATGATATGAGAAGCTTTATCTCAGCTTTTCTGTGCCTAACAACCACTGTGGTAAACTAGTTAAAATGTAAATCCCTGGGCCTTAACCTCTGAGATTTGACCCACAAATCTGATTTTTAATAAGCACTATAAATCATTTTGATCTTTTGAGCAATACTGTTAAAGTGAAACACTGACTCTTCCGTCTGTACATGTTTCTGTTGCAAAATTTAGATGCCTTTCTCCTTTTGATGTCTATAAATATGCATTTAAACATTGAAGATTAAATTAAGTAAAAATCAAAGCATGCTGCTTATACATATGTAGAATGTATTCATGCATTTAAAGAACTCAAGCTTACCTTTGCCCAGTACCTAAAGGCAATCACCAAAGGAATCAGCTTTGGTTCTAGTTTTCCAAGGGCAGTTAAATGCTCTGTTGTCAAACAAGCATTTTCATTTCCCGCGCTCACTTTACAAAGAAGACCACTGGTGAGAGGTAGAGGATAAGAATGGGAAAGAAAAAAAGAAAAAAGTGTTATACAGGTCTTAAAAGTATCTTTTATGCCAACAACTAATATACACGGATAATAAATACTTCAAAAATAAAAAAATCTTAAAAGTTAAACTCACTACATCTTTATGAGTCATTTAAGAAATTGAATTTTCTTTACAAGAAAGATATTGTAGCTATTTCTGAATAAACTTTACTTTTTGGGACTACAATTTTGTGTTTTCAAATATTAAAATTATTTTTTTTGGAAAACATTATAAAATGTTTCAAATGGGAGCATCATTCATCTCTGTAACAATACAAGAGTGTTTTCCCAAGAGTTGGAGGAATCTGCCTAAATGAAGAATCATTACAGCCTATAAATCACCCATTTACAGTAGTGACGGTAATACTTTCACATAGAGGGAGAGAGAGATAAACTGGAAAGGTCACACTGTTAACTCAGCACTGCCATAAATGTTGCTGAAAAGGATGGCAAATACAGGTGATTACAGCAGGTAACTATTTAATAAGGCTGTTTTTTAACGAGTTGAAATGGACTGAAATGTTTCCTTCCTTTATTTTTTCTTTTAAGTCATTTTATTATTTTTAAAATAAGATTTTCCCCTTTTACATCAAATGCCAAAAGTATAGGGAGAATGTTAGTAGGAACCATATGTGATAACCAAATAAAAAGCTTATAATTCTAGAAATTGGACATTAAGATTTAGTAAAGTATTTGTGCTTTTGGCAAATCGATAGTTAATAAATAAACAGTTTAAAGAAATGAGACCTTTGCTTTTCTCTGCACACCACCACTGGCACCCTAGCATGGAAGTCTGCATCAACATCAACAAAGGAGTCTGAGGAAAGAAGAAAAAAAAATACGAAGTGGGTTAATTAAAGCTTTGTTTAAAAGCAGAACCAGATAAAGTACAAGTACCAGTTGTGCCTTAGCTGTTGAGTCTTTTGAATGACCACTACCAAATAAAGCTCTGAAATGACTTGAAAAGGAAAAAGTATTATATTTAAAAATCAAGTTATCACATTAATATAAAATCCTTAGTTTGCAAATGAATGTTTCATGAGAAGTGACTACATCATTGGATCAGAAAATTCAAATGTTACATGGATAACAATTAGAACTACAGATAATACACTTAAAAACAAAGTTGCTGCAAAAGGTACTAAAATGTTCAGTGTTAAAATATGTATCGATTGAAGAAAAAATTTAACTAGAACAAGGAAGATGGGGATGACTAATCCAAGAGATGACAGTTTCTTGAGGCCTATGTAAAAAACAAAAAGCCATAAAGCCCCAAGCTGGACGTTATATTAGACAACTGATAAACCTAAATGGGCACAAATCTGCGGATTCACTAATTAGGGTTGGGTCACACCTATTCACTGTTGGTAAAATAGTGATTTTAACCATTGATAAAAGCAGATTATCCTTTGGCTTTACTCTCAAGAGTACATTTTACATATTTTGCATTTCTTAGTCACATCTAGGACTCATTTAATCTTTAAAAATAGTGATGATGTCATCAAGCTAAAAGCTTTACTTATGAAATGGTTATTCTGCATAGCAGAACTACTAACAGTACTCTAGTTAATAATTCCTGGGCATTTCCCTTGTTTTTTACTTTGGATATTACCCATATAAATAATTTTTAAAACATGCCTTGCTATTTTTAAAGTTTGAGAAATAAGATATATCCAAATTTAGACAACATAAAAATTTTAAAATGTGGAATTTAGCCTTACCACTGTTCTTTAAACATTCTTGAACAAGTAAGAGGACATCTGGCTGAGACATCTAGGAAATAAATCAACGAATACATGAAATTATTCCTAAGTGATTTTGCTTCACTGATATAATAGAGTCATCTGACTGAAGTTCCCCAAGCTCCTTTCTAAATGAGAAATACACATTGCTACCCGAGTAAAGAAACTACTTACTATGCTGTGTGCATATGTCAGTCAAAGACAGATCAACACCAAATGTGGATGAATGTGGGCAAGAGACCTACTACACCATTAACATCTCATGAACTAATTATTGAGGTAACCTGCCTCTCAGCAAGTCTCAAAGTGGTAGCTGGAAATCTGTCAAACTGCTATTACCTCTCACTCTAATACCACTGCAACAGATAGCTTACTGGTCCTGGAGTCAGTCTCGCCTTTCTTTTTAAAATCCTTGTTTCGCATTGGAACCAGAACCATTTAAAATCATAAACTGTATCCTTACAACTCTCAATGACTTCTTACTACCCTTAAATCAAAACCAAATTCTCTACCACGGACTACACTATTCTGCAAGTCCGGCCCAGCCTACCTCTCCATCCTAATTCTCAGTTTTCTCGGTCTCTTTACCACACTTATACAACCTTTCTTTTAGCTCCTTGAATATGCCAAACTCTTTATTGTTTTAGGGTATTTGCAAATGCTGCCCACTTTGCCTGAAACTCTTTTCCTCCCCACCCCTAGCGTTTTCCCCTCTCCCACAGACTCCTTTTCAACTTTTAGAACTCAGCTTAAATGTTCCCTCTTTAAAGAGGCCTTCATGACTGCTGTATCTCTGCCCAGCCCTTGTCCTTTTTCTATCCCTGAACCTTGTTTACCTGCACAGCTCTCACTATAATTACAAGGTAATTACTTATCTCCTTTACTAGATGAGTTCCATAAAGAGGAACTATCTTTGTTTTGTCCTTTATAACTCAGTATGTCTGCCACACAAATGGGATTAGTGAATATTTGCTAAATGAATTAATGACACCAGATCAAAATAACTGCTTTGGCTGGTAAATCACCGATCAGAATTTAAAGTTTAAAAAACGATAAGATCTATTGGGTAGCTTACCAGGTAGCTATAGGAGTCAGGCATAGCAAGTTTTAAAAAATAGTAAGATCTACTGGGTAGCTTACCAGGTAGCTACAGCAGTCAGGTATAGCAAGAGGAGAGAGGTTATGAAATAGAACCTCTGGGGCCCCAGAATCTGGATTGTTTTTTGAGAGAGATGGGGCTGGCCAGGCTGGTCATGAACTCCTGGCGTCAAGTAATCCTCTGACCCTCAGCCTCCGGAGTAGCTGGGAAGAGAGGGTTAAACCACTGCGCCCAGTTCACAATCCGGATTTTTAACAAGCAACCCAAGTAACTGCAAACAGATCATCTATAAACAAGCCTGTGGGAACTACTGGTAGAGAAATGGATAATTTACTAAAGTGCCCTTCAGGTTTTTTGTTTGTTTGTTTGTTTTTTTAAGAGATAGGGTCTCACTATGTTACCCAAGCTGGAATGCAGCAGCAATTCTCAAGTGCAGTCACAGCTCACTACAGCTTCAAACTCTGGGCTCATGATCACCCCGCCTCAGCCTCCAGAGTAGCTGGGACTGCAGGACTGTACCACCGTGCCCAGCTACATTCCAGTTTTAAAATTCTAAGTCATAAACATACTTTTCAATCATGTTTAAACCAGAAATCCAAGATAAGTGTGATTCTTTAAAAGCGTAACTACTTCAACAAAATAAGTATACAAAAAGAGGAAATTCCAGAGATAATTAAGCTTTCAGATCATAAATCTTTAAATATCTACACTGTTTAAAATCTGAATTCCCTTCCTGCCATTGGAAAGTTGATTTTATCAAGAAAATTTATTGTAACAGAAAAAAGTAAAAGTAACAGAACCTAAATATCCCCATTAGGTGCACATGGTTGGAAAACCAGTGTTGGAAGTATGAAAGATCTACAGAGTAAAATAAGCATAAAAATTTGCAGGGTATTTTTTTTTTTTTTTAAAAAGACTCTGAAACTGAAGGCAAGTGGATGCTGTCATTACACTTAAAATATATTCATAGACAGTTTACATTTGCAATAAAGAATTTCTATACCACTCTCAAAATGCCAACATTTCATTTTGTACTTACAATGGCTGGAAATTGGATGTCAATGTTCACATCTGAATTTTTGAAACCCAATCTGCTACAGGATGACCCATATAATCTTAGCGAACAATCTAAAAATAAATAAATGAAAGTTATAAATGTAGAATTTCTCAAAAGTTATAACAACGAACAGCTATTTCAGAAACAGAACCATTAGTTAAAATTACACACAAAAGCAAACTTGTATTCAAGACTGGCATAAACCAAGGACAGGAATAGGTGGCTCTTTGCTCTTCACTTAATCAATCACGGAAGGCTACATCAGCTATGATTTAGCTTAACAGCCATTCTTCATGTCAGTTGTAAAATGTCAAACTGCTACATTATCAGGTTCACAGTTTATGAAGAAAATACTATTTGAAATTTTTTAAATGTGCCAGTTGAAAAAGGGTGCCTTTGTTTCAGATTATAAACCTGGTAGTATATTCAAGAGCTAATGAAACATTTCTTTTCACCTTTTAGAATGCACACATAGGTGTAATTTGCTATAAAGAGGTTTTATTAAAACAATAATAAAATAATCTTTTGGCATATTTAATATGAAATTTTCATTACATTATGAACAAAAAGCATTTGTTATAACATAATCTCTATCAGATAAACTTTTGAAGAATAATTACAACATCACTGATATAATTTAAAATGCTAGGCAGCACACACTTCACTCTTCAGAGGAAGATGTGCATTTATGTGTACTACCTGTATATATGGCATTTATTTTCAATGTTTTACTATGATGCCAAAATAGTATCCTTTCTCATTAGAGATTGGTTGTTTTGTTTAAGGTTTGCTAAAATTCAAGTGATTTCCTTGGGTTTCAGCAGTTTTCCACAACAAAGTACATTCATTTTTACTTGAAACTCTAAAGCAAAAATCATCAAAGTTACAATTGACTTTTCAGGAGATACTTATATAATAAAATGAGTAGATTATTTTCCCTTATTCTTATGAAAGTACATATATTACAAATACTATATGTATGCTCTTTCAGGAGAGCAAATGGTTTTAAGGTTTATAAGGTGACAAATATAAATAATGATTCCAACCCTAGCTGTGGATCAGAATCACTTGTTGAGCTTTGTAAAAACTGTTGTCTGCGGCTTCACAGATAATTCTGATGCACAGCAAGGATTGAGAATGATTAAGCTATTCCAACCATTTACCTAAACAGGAATGGCCAGTGGGGGCTGGGGGATGACATGGGGTGGGGTTTGTTGCTATCAAGGATTGACAGTAGTTGTGTCAGGCACTGACCATACCTAGCTTTAAATTTTCATAGTAATACACTCCAAACAGTTGTCCCCCCTCCCCATTATGCCAAGGATCTAAAGTTAAAAATAGGCAGAAGACAGACATAACTTGGAAAATCAATTCAACAGTACACAAAATCCATTACAAATTTCTTAAAACTAGTTTTGAAAGTTCATTTTAAATGTTGCAATTCTTTTAATAAAGTTAAAAAAATTTTTTTTTGAAATAAATAAACTGAAAATAATTTCAGGATACTTCTCTTGATTTTAACTCAAAATTTAGTGTCAATTTAGATGAGTAGAAAGGCAAACAAATATATACTGAACAGTCCCATAGTGCCCCAACAATATGTAGCATTCAACTTAACGTTCACACACACGGTAAAATTTATAATGGAAACAGGTTTACAATGGCAATGTATGTGAAAGTCCTTGTTACCTTGGGAAAAACCAGCGAAAACAAACCAAAAAAACCAGAAAACACAAGAGCTTCATGACATGGCAAATTATCTGGTGAAAATTACTACTGGTAGGAGAAATGAATGAGGTACTTTTAGGTACTTAAACAGAAAAAAGCAAACCTAGAAAATACCTGGTAACTTGTGTTGAAACACATTTTCCATGATACGTTTGATTTCTAGCCTCTGTTCCAAGTTCTCACTGTGTAAGCCAAATTCCTGTACTACTTTGTCAATGGCAATGCCAACTGCATTTATCTGGGAGGGTGTTGGTGGGGGTAACGTAGTGAGCAACTCTTCCTCTTGCTTCTCCTTTTAAGATCAAATGTTGAAATTAAAAATGACTTACAGTTTTTAACCTTCTACCATTCACAAAGACAATAAGGCCCTACAGAGTTTTCTTTTTCTTAGCCCTCCCTTCTCATCTTAGCTCTGTTACTCTTCATCCTATCAAACTTATTTCCTTATGCACATAATATGAATCAGTGATAACAGAGGATAAGCAGGCACAAGGTGAAACTATAAGGAAAGAATATTAAAAACCGCACTTAAAAACAATGTTTGCTTTAATATTAGTATAAGGACATATACCTAGGTCCAATCAATGACTTCATATATCCTGATGCTGCCCTTAAGAAAATTCACAAGACTAACCAGTAAAACACATCTGACCTAATATATTATGTATTTTGGCTCAAATTATTCAATAAATAAAGCAGTAAGCTTATCAATAGCATAGCCTTAAGGAGAAGAAAGCCACAAAGATGACAAGTAATAACAACTGACAAGTAAGCAGACTTGTTTCGGTTACATTCAACTTACCTTAATGTTTTTCTTGTGCCTCTTCTCCTTGATATGCTTATGGGCAAATGCAATGGATTCAATTAAAACATCACAGAGTCTGCAGGTGTACTTTGCTGTAGGGTAGTTTCGTGGTCGCTATAATTTGAAGAGATTTATTTAGAGAGAGATATACGTATAACCAAACATTCAGATAAACAAAATCAGCCAGGAAATAATTTCCCCTTCAATTTATTTTCTCTAAAGAGACAGGGGTCTCACTATGTTGCCCAGGCTGAAGTGCACTGGCTATTCACAGATGCCATTATAGCATACTACAGTCCCAAACTCCCGAGCTTAAGCAATCCTCTTGCCTTAAACTTCACAAGTGACTGGGGCTATAGGAACACCACTGTGCCTGGCTGCTTCTTTTTTAAAAAAATTGCTACTGTTATTGTTCCCTTTATCACAACCCTAACAGTCATTTTAAGTATAATAGCAATGACTCCTAATCCTATTAAATCACACTGGATATCACTTTTAACTTGTAGTGCTTAAATACCAATAAACAGAGTAGGGTATCTAACTGATCAGAGCACGTATACTCAATTACTAACAAAGTTTAGGTCAAAACCAGAATTCTAACCAACATATATATACATACGTACATATATATATATATATATATATGGATGTTACCCTTTTTAGCCTGTCAATGCAGTCTCTTTTCAGTCTCTCCTCAGCCTGCTGTAAGCCCAGCAGCTCCTTCGTTGAAAGCACAGACTCGTCGATCACGGGGCCCTCCAAGTCTGCATCCTGCTCATTTTCCTCATTTCTAGTCTTCCGTGGCTTCCTAGGCCTGGACCTCTGCTTCTTGTTTTCTTAAGTTGGGAGAAAAACATTATTGGCAATATTGAATAATGCTACTCCTGAGTAAAAAGCAGACCTTACATATATATTAAATCATGTGGGAGAATAAATCACATCTGAATGCACAGCAGAAGGAAAGGTAGTTGTTCCATGTACAAAATGCTTGAATACCGTAGTCAGTGAGCACATCGCCTGCAGACGTTAATCCATAGAAATCATCATTTTGGAAAACTTAAAGGAATTCTACTTCTATCATATAGTTTATTTTTGTTATCTCTTCCTGGTATACTGTTGAGTATACTCAAACAACAGAAAAATTATACTCTGAAGGCAACTATATCTATAATTCTATTACATGTAATATATTACAATACATACTGTAAATATATCTAATATATTCTAATAATACTTGAAAGTACACCTATTCTAATTAAAACCATCCACATTTGCTTTCATTTTCTGTAAGTGAACAAACTCAATAAGGCAAAATGGACAATGTACCCCTGGACAACTGAGAAATTAACTACATCCTCATGTGGAGTGAAAAATCAATCATTTAGTTGCAAATTTAGCCTTCAGTAACACGTAAGCCGGGTCCCTCCATTAATATGAAGAAGTTGAAGCCAAACCTTTATTTACTAAGGACAACTATCTCTCATTTTATCTTTACTTTCATTTTAGCTTCTTTGAATGGCCTGTACACTGAGCATATTTCAAAGGAAAAAAACTGGCAATTGAAACAAAAGTTTTCTCTAAGTACATTTGTTTATAAACCCTGCTATTAGTTCTACAGTCCTTATAATGAATAATAATTCTCTTCCTTTTTAAAACCTACCACTTTTCAACTTTAAAGTGATTGTGGGATTAAACTATAAAAAATTGTTTTATATAGCTTTGATAACTTCTTTTAACTTTTGAAAAATGAAACTATTAGTAACACATTAGTGCTTGGAAATATAAACCTACTGAAATGTCCTACATGAGGCAATTACTCCATAAAGTTTTCAGAGAGACTCACTATTACTAGTATGGCAATTACAATGAGCTGGCTGGCTGAAAAAAATCTGTCCAAAAAGGAAATATAAGGCCTCCAATTTTATAAAAAGCTTGCTGAGAGCTCTAAAGGATAGCCAGCAAGCATTGCTTTAAAACTACCTGAGATGACTATCATGACATTCTGCAAACAACTTCCATAATATGAGAAAATTAAAAAAAAAAATTAAAGTGTTAGAAAAGTAGTTTTAAAAAAATCAGTCAAAAGGCACTGAACAAATAAATACTAAAAGGTTAAGTTGTCATTTGAACAGAAAATCAGGCTACCTTGGGCTACCTTAATACTTCCTTTTTAATACTTCCCCTACTCCCAATTAAATTTATCATAATCTTTTAAGGCCAGTATTCCTGGTCTGAACAATTTTTTTAATTCAGATAAGCACCTCTTTTACTTAGAGACGTGTCCACTCTCATTTAGTTTGCTTACCATTATAAATGTTATCAAAAAAGTTACATCTGACTTTATTATTACAGGTTTCTTAGGCAAAAACTCATTACAAATTTCGAATAATATTCCAACACCCTTTAGAAAAACCCCTATTAGTTTGCAAGCCAGTGACTGATAGGGAACTGAATTCGTTTTTAAACCCTTCCTCTCTTCTGGTCACAAAACATTCTCCATATTACTGTACTTGCTGTCACTTTCTAGAAAGAGTAACTTCTCTCTTCCTCCAAAGACCACAAGTAACTAACTCCTATCGCTTTTATACAGAAGTGGATGGCTGCAGAAATTCTGTCAGATAACGGCAGCTACCAGGATGGTGTATCTTATTATGCAATAGATTTAAAGCACTTTATATGTACTGCCTCAATTTAATCCCTACAGCAATCCTGCTAATACTAATATCGTCCCCATTGTACAGATGGGGACAATGCTAATCCAAGAGAACAACTTCTCCAAAACCACCTGGCTAAATCAAAGTAAAGGGATTGAAAATATAGATTAAAATATGGATGGGGACAGGTGCAGTGGGTCATGCCTGTGATCCCCAGCATTTTGGGAGACTGAGGTGGGAGGATTGCTTGAGCTCAGGAGTTCAAGACCAGCCTGGGCAACATAGTGAGACGTCATCTCTAGCAAAAATGAAAACAATCAGCCAGGGAAGATGACATGCTCCTGTGTGTTCCAGCTACTCAGGAGGCTGAGGTGGGAGCATTGCTTAAGTCCAGGAGGTGAGGCTGCGGTGAGCCATGATTTCACCATCGCACTCCAGCCTCAGTGACACAGTGAAACTGTCTAAAAACAAACAAAGGATAGAATCCTGAAATTCAGCCTTTTATCTAACAACATAAAAACTGGAAAAAAGTTACTAAAAGCCCTTCTTGGAACATACCCATTCACATCTACAGTGGACTAGCACTGACAAGGTAACGCAACCTTCTGAACTGAGTTTCCCAGGAATCCATGGTAAAAACTGTCAAAAACTCTCACTGGAGGGACTCTTGGAGGGTTAAGCTAGGTACTGATGAGAAATTCTCATAATTAGTTAGAGGAAGACTACCTGGCTCACCTCAGATTTATTGTCATAACAGTTCTCTACATTCAGCATTCCAAGTTTCCCTATTTTATTTGCATATGGTTCACAAAGGACATGTGTATTTAAGTGGATGCTTTCCAGCTATGATCATTAATGGCAATGTCCCAAATACATTAAATTGGCAACCTAGACATTTGAGGGATAAGGTAGGGGCAGTAATGTAGAGCTAAAGAAAAAGAAAGTAGTGCTGTATTTCAGGCACACAAAAAAAAAAACAACTCTAACATAATTTTCATTATATCTTCTCACACTGTTCCTTATTTTTTATCTGCTTATTTTTTTGAGATGGAGTCTCACTCTGTCGCCCGGCTGGAGTACATGGCACCATCTCGGCTCACTGCAACCTCCGCCTCCCGGGTTCAAGTGATTCTCCTGCCTCAGCCTCCTGAGGAGCTGGGACTACAGATGCGTGCCAGCACACCTGGCTAATTTTTGTATTTTTAGTAGAGACAGGGTTTCACCATGTTGGCCAGGGTGGTCTCAATCTCTTGAGCTCATGATCTGCCCACCTTGGCCTCCCAAAGTGCTGGTATTACAGGCGTGAGCCACCGCGCCCGGCAGACCCTTTCTTACTAAGACACAATTTTGATAAATAAATTTCAATCTCTTTAATGAGATCCTTTTTTACTTTATACTTTCAGTTGAATAGTCTCTAAAGTAAATGTTACATCAAATCCTAATACTTCCAATATGAAGCCTTTACTCAATAATTGTGAAAGAATATACCTGTATGTCATACAGGGAAAATATGCAAGCTTTTGAATTACCTCCAATAAAATGACAGCAAAATGCATTTTCTATTCAAATACACTTAAAAGCAACTTTAAGTTGCTTTTATAAGAACACATATAAGATAAAAATACATACAAAAGTTTTCTAGTCAACAACCGGTTGCAAATTTTTGATCTATAAACATTCTTTTTAAAATGCTTTTCGGTCAAGCACAATGGCTCACGTCTGTAATCCCAGCACTTTGAGAGGCTGAGGCAGGCAGATCAGGAGGTCAGGAGATGAAGACCAGCCTGGCCAAAATGCTAAAACCCCATCTCTACTAAAAATACAAAAATTAGCTGGTTTGGTGGTGTGTGCCTGTAGTCCCAGCTACCCAGGAGGCTGAGGCAGGAGAACTGCTTGAACCTGGGAGGCAGAGGTTGCAGTGAGCCGAGATTGCACCACTGTACTCCAGCCTGGAAGACAGAGTGAGACTCTGTCTCAAAAAGTAAAATATAAAATAAAATAGAAATAAATAAATAGATCTGACAACTAGAAGTATCTCTGAAAAGCACATTTCCCCCCATTTAATATTAACAAATGCTTGAGACTTTTATTTTTATCCTAAGACCTTGTAAAGATAAGAGATGACCTTTTCACTTTTAAGTATTCTATATGCACAGGACACAAATTCAAACACCTTATAGGTAATCTATATATGAACTGGCCACTATGAGATAACATGAAGGGAAAAGGCATGGGGTGGTCTAGAAAGTGGCTGCATTGACTGAATGCATTTAAACTCAAAAATTTTATTTAAAAGTGCTGGCCAGTTTGCAACACATTCTATGCGACCACTAAGAGGCTTTCAGCCAATAAACTTACAAAGTCCAGGTTTCCAACTATGATACTATTGTTTCATTTTTTCCATCTAATTTATATCTTTACTTCATTTCAGTGAATATTGCCCATTAGACAAAAATAACCTTCCTGTTTGTAGAAATCACTGCCACATGGACAAAATCTACCTTTTGCTTTTAGAAAAACATATTATCTCCTTATTATCCCTTTGGGGCAATTAACCAAGCATGTGAGGGCACTTCGAAATTAGTTTTGGTCTTATTGAAACCAAACAGCAAAGCTTGAATCTGTATTTCTGACTTTCTAAACTTGTTTCTCAACCTGTCATGATCCTTTTGAAAAACAAAAATCTTAGATTATCCTTCTCAGGACACTGACACTACACCCAAAAGATGTATCTCTTGTTGCAGGAAATAAACACAGTCTATATTGTGTTTTTACATCAACAGATAAGTTTTTTTTAAAAAAAAAAGTTTATATTCTGTCGTGTATATTATGAACACATTCATTATTCAAATGCAAAAGTATAATCATAATTGTTAAAATATACACACCACTGAGCAATTATGATATGGTCCCCTGAGGCATATAACTACCCTCTTGTGTAAAAAACATGTTACAGAAAACATGTTTACTAAAGTAAAATGAGCCTTGGGGCACAATAAACTTTTAAAGGGATCAAGATGTGAAATGTGTTGAAGCTGCCCAAATATCATGATTACAGTCCTTAAAATAATCACAATAAGTGACCACATCTTAAAACAGAAACTATGAAAAACTGAAACTAAATTGCTGAAAATAACAAAACTCATTTGGATGAAAAAGAATAAGACATCGCTGACAAGTTGGAAAACATTACCAGGACTTCCTGCTTCCATTTCTGACGTGGTTTCTAGGCTTGTTAGGTCTTTATGAAACAGTCGTCTTACAGTTCTGCAGCCTCTTGTGTCTTGCCACCTATAACCATCTTCATTTTCTTGAAAGGAGTCTTTTCTTGGTCTGTTTATAACAGAAATTCTAGGTCCAGGTTTGAATTCTCTCCAGTTGTCTGAATTACCAGTATGTTCATCAGACAGCCGTCTCTTACTCTGATCTTTGTGGTTGTCATTTATCCAAGCGGGTTGACTGTAGATTGGGTTTTTAAATGCATACGGATTGCTGGAAACAGCACATGGTCCTTTTCTGGGGTTATTCCCATAGTTCCCTGGTGTTACCTTTTTTTTTTGAAGGCCCTTTTCCATTTTACTGCCATGGCCTTTAGCATAGTCATCCATTATTAAATAATCTTGTTGGGGGTGACCCCTTCTGAAATCATCATCATCTATAGTCCCTCGGTCTTTAGTGCGCTTCACGAAATAAGGTTTTGCTGTATCTCCCATGGTCTTTGACTTCAATTTTCTTACTTTGCACCTGAAAGAAGGCATTTTGGGGAAACATCAAACTATATAACAAGATATCACACAAGTATACAAAATAACACCTTTATCGTGCAGATGCCCAAAAGCCTTTAAGAAAGAAACTTTCTCTATTTTTTTAAAACAAAAATTCTATCACATCCTTAATAATCAGTGCATTACCCTAGAGGTTGAGAGCCTTGGTCCTCTAATATTCTTCATGAAAATTAATACTATTTAGCATGAAGAATAAATCTGTGAATAAGAGGTCTATAGATTCGAGAACTGTAGCATAGCAGAATATTACTCATAACAAGTTTGGTGGGCTTTTCCCTACGTAACAATGCGTTTCTCTTCAAAGAAAACCTCATCCGAAGCCAATATATTACTAAACTCCCGAAAGAGTCTTTTTTTTGAAGTGGGCAATTATTTGTAAGTGTTATACACCGAAACTTTACGTCAACGGAGTACTACATCTCTCAACTCCCAATTTCCGTCCCTTCACCACCACCATTCCGGACAGACCGGCTTTGAGCGCTTAGGTTACGGAGGGGCTGGGCTCCAGACCAAGGTGTAGTTGTAATCAAAGGGGCTGGGTTTCCGATCAAGCGACAACTCCAGCTAACATCCTCAATCCCCGTTCTCCAACCACAAACAAGTCTGGTTTTGTCAGGAACAGCAATTCCCCGAGGAATGACACTCCTTTTCAATCCTCATCTGAACGCTCCACCACCGATCTGCCTCAGTTTCCACCTTTCTGAGCCCGACGCGGAGAAAGAGGAGGCGTCCCTGCACTCCTGGCCAAGAAGCCGCCGTGGGGACCAGGAAGCAGGAAGTGACCTGCTGCCTCCATGGGGTTCCGGGGTTCCCCCAGCCGGCCAGGGGGCCAGAGACGAATGCCTTGACCCAAATCCCATCTTCTGTGCCCTCAGAGTGTGACAAAAAGTGAAAACACGGACTCGAACCGAGAGCTCAGTCTCTGCCGGCCTGGGGTTCCTCGGTCACCTAAACTGGTGCGAGGAGGCCGACGGGGGATGGAACCAACGTACCTCCGGGGCCAGGCGGACCGCTACTCTGGAGTCCAGGAAACCCACTGGAGAATCAGCGCGGAGGCGAGTCTGGCAGGGACGTGAGGAGAAGGCGCCCAGGATCACTCACCACCTTCGCCGCGGTCCCCAGCCTCTTCCTGTCCCGGCCGGGCTCCCTCTCCGTGTTTTCCTTCGGCCCCACTTCCGGCGCTCAGCGCTGTCTCATTGTGCGCGATTGGGAGCCGACTGTGCCCCCGCCCTAGCGCTCCGCCGCGCACACCGGAAACGCGCGCCGCGCCGGGAGGGCCGCCCGCCGCGCCCCGCCCCGCGGTGCCCCGCCCACGCTCGGGGTCCGCCCCGCGCGCTTTGCCCCGCCTGGTCCAGCCTGGCCCCGCCTGGTCCGCGTCCCAGCACCCGCCCTCTGGGTGTCGGGCGTCTGGTCTGGCCCTGGGGCGCGCCCCTCGGCGCTGGCGGATTACTGGCTGCTTGTGGGATAGCCGGTTCGCCGGTTTTACCGGCGCGCGGGGGCCAGGCCCCAACAACTCCCGAGAGCAGCACCGGCCCCTTTTCCGTCCCGGCTTCGACGCGCCTCAGGCTCCGCTCTCTGCTCTGGGCGCTGAATGCTCGAGAGAGGCGCGGGAGCCGAGACTTCTGCGCCCGGAGGGGGACGCGGAGCCGGCGGGAGGGCACAGCCGAATTCCCGGTGCTCGGGGCCTGAGCTTTGCCCCTATGTGCTGCCTGGTAGCTTCCAGGGGGAGCGAAGGCTCCGAGGCCTCATAGCGCTCTTGGTGTTTTTCTGATAATTCGGCGTGATTATTTTCGTGAATTCTTAATTGCCGACCTTGTAGAAATGCCAGCATTTAAACATCCACTGCTCACCCAGATCTCAGAGTGGTCAAGGAAAATGGTCTGCTTTTATGTTAGGTTGTTTAGGGATAACTTTTACTTAAAAAAAAAAAAAAGTGCGTTTCGAAGAGTATGTGTAATGGCAAGGGATGACCAGGGACCGTTAAACTACAACTTTTGAACTGAAGAAAGCACACTTCGAACTCGGGTTCCTTTGTTTTCTTTCTTTGTGACCTTCCTATTTGCAGTGTTCTAAATGCTTCGAAATGCGTCAAGCAACTAGTGAAATTAGGGAGCGTTGGGAAAATGTGACAGTTTCAATTTCTCTGCTTTTTTAAAGCATGTAAATTGAAAGCTATCAGGCCCTATGCGGCAGTGGTCTTAAAATAATACACAAAGTACTGGCTATGCTAGTAACTGTTCTGAAGGCTTTGCTAACATTAACTCCTTTGTTTTATTTTCACTTTTTATTTTTGTAGAGACGGGGGTCTCCTGTGTCGCCCGGACTGCTTTCCAACTCCTGGACACAAGCCATCCTCCCACCTCGGCCTCCCAAAGTGATGGGATTACAGGGATGATCCACCATACCCAGCCTTAACTCCTTTAATCCTCACAACTTTAGAAAGACTGTATCGTTATCCCAATTTTAAAGATGAGATTTATTTAGCAATTGCAGTGAAGTAAATGGCACTGCTGCAATCCAAACCCTGAATATGAGGCTGTTATTAACCATGTGGCTATACTAAAACTGATGTAAAACACATCTCTACAACTTTCATATAATTCCTCACTTAGATATTTTGATTCTGAAAATACGTGAGCATCAAACTAATATTATCTTCAACAGGCAGACAGCGGCCTTGAAAATATAGTCCGAAAGGAAGTGTGGTGATGCATGATTACATTAATTCTGAGACAGCAGTGTCACCACACCCCACCCAAGCCAGTGATTCCTGTACAAAAGAAATGGTTTAGAAACCTGCCTCCACCTGGAGTTCTAGAGTAGCAGCAGAGGATATATCTTTTTAAGGATTAAAAAAAAAATGTTTTTGAGACGGAGTCTCACTCTGTTGCCCAGGCTGGAGTGCAGTGGCACCATCTCGGCTCACTGCAACCGCCACCTCCCAGGTTCAAGCAATTCTACTGCCCCAGCCTCCCGAGTAGCTGGGATTACAGGCGTGTACCACCATATCCCGCTAATTTTGTGTTTTTAGTAGAGATGGGATTTCACCATGTTTGCCAGCCTGGTCTCTAACTCCTGACCTCAGGTGATCCACCCTCCTCGCCCACCCAAAGTGCTGGGATTACAGGCGTGAGCCACCTTACCTGGCCGGATTTAAAATATTTTTGCTAGGCACTTTTGCTCATGCTGTAGTCCCAGCAATCCTGGAGGCTGAGGTAGGAGGATACCTTAAGCCCAGGAGTTGGAGGCTGCAGTGAGCTATGACGGGGCCATCACACTTCAGCCTAGGCAACAGGGCAATACCCTGTCTCTCTCAAAAATAAATTTATGAAATAAAACATTTTAAATTTGCATTTTCTTCAACATCTTTCCAAAAGCCCAGCTAGCTTCTCTTATTCTAATAGTTGCTTGCTTTTAAGATTCATCTTGAGGACAAATGAGGCTCTCTAAAATAAGATGCAGTACTAATCAAAAGATATTGACAACCTAATATACCTTTTTCTGTCCACATTATGCTGTAATGGATATTTAAATTGGTTCTAGGAATCCTTACAATCCAGTTGGAAATTATTGTTTGATTTTTCTTTGGCTGCCACTGGAAGGACTAATGAGTTTCTCAGAATCTGTGGTGATTGCTTCATGGTCTTGACATATTTCCAACAACCTGGAGCAGAAATGTGAGGGCAAAGGCTGCTATATACTGTTAAGCGTTGCTCAGAGGACATTAATACTGCTCCATATTTTACAATATATTTTCTATCTTGAGCTTCACATTGTAATACATCTTAAAATTCTTGTAATTCTATCTTGAAATTAACATTGTAATACATGTAATACATCTTGACACTCTTGTAATTCTGTCTTGAAACTAGCATTGTAATACATCTTGACAAGTCAACTTTTAACAAACCCAGTGCTCTTTCTCTATAGAGCCAGGGAGTCAGAAATGTAGGAATTATATTCATGGCTTTATCAGCCAGCTTTTTCCCCAGTGGTTTATTTGGTTTGGTTTGGTTTTTTAGAGCTCTAATGCTTAAATGTCGTGGTTTTTATCCATGTTGTTAGCAAGTTATGTTGGTTCTGCTTCAAATCTGTCCAGAGTCCAAAAACTTATTACCGCTTTCACTGCTTCCAGCCAGATGCTCACTACTATCACTTGCTTCCACCTTGTCCTCCAATTTACTCTTGACACAGTAGCCAGAAAACGCATGTTAAAAGCTGGACTAACTGATTTTCCCCTCAGTACCCTTCACTGGCTCCCAATTTCTCTGGGAGTAAAAACCAAAGTCTTTCAATGGCTCAAGGCCTTTCCCTTTACCTCCTGATCTCAGACCTTACGACTTTTACCCCAGTGGTATAATATAAAATATATTTGGCCTTTGTCCCCAGTTTCTGTGACGGTTCTGTCATAGAGCTTTTAAAATCCTTGAAATTTCCTGAGTGATAGAAATGTCTTTCCGTGTTCATAGTGAGCCCCTAAACTCCCGGGTTTATGCTAATGAGGTGATTTAGGATGGGGGCCCTACATGGCCTCAGCATGGAGCTAATCACCAGAAAGACCAAGTGACTGGAGGATTAGAGGGTTAGAACATTGAGTTCTACCAGCTGACCTCTGTGAAGGGAAGGAAGGGGCCGAAGATCAAGCTCTCTAAGTAGTCTTGAACAAAAAGACTTGATGAGATTCCCTAGAGTTGAACACAGGTAAGTGCTGCAGGTTGGCTCACCTAGAGAGAGCATGGAAGCTCTGTGCCCTGCCCCCCAACCTTGCCCTTTGTACCTCTTCATCTGGCTGTTCATCTGTATCCCTTGTAATATCATTTATAATGAACCAGTAAACGTGTTTATCTGAGCTCTCGGGGCCATTCTAAAAAGTTACTTGAACCCAAAAAGGGGGTCACAGGAACCTCGGAAACCAGTCAGTAAGAAGTATGGGTGGTTTTGACTTGTGATTGGTACCTGAAGTCAGGGCAGGCTTGTAGGGCTGAGCCCTCATCTGTGGGATCTGACACTATCACCAGGTAGATAGAATTGAAATGAATTATAAGACACCCAGTTGCTTCTGTAAGGGCAGAAGGAACTTTATACCTTCAGAAATTTTGATAGTTTGAATCTATAAAACAAACTGGCCATGGAGAGATTAACAGGAGAAACGGCATATCAATTTATTAACTTGCAAGCTAACGGGAGCCAAACAAAGTATGAAACTCAAAGAAAAGCCAAATGGCTGAAGCTTAAACAGGACCCCGAGCTACAGAAAGAAACTGTAGTGGTGGGGACCAAAGTCATTGAAAGATGAGGGTAGAGTAAGTACATGGTGAGCAAAACTTTTCTTGTTATACAGATAGTCTTTCAGACTAGAAGAAGGGTTTTAAAAAATAGGTGAAAAGTCTGTCCAGCCAGACGTGGTGGCTCACACCTGGAATCCCAATACTTTGGGAGGCTGAGGCCGGAGGATCGCTTGAGCCCAGGAATTTGAGAACAGTCTGGGCAACATGGCAAAACCCTATCTCTACAAAAAATACAAAAGGCTAACCAGGCGTGGTGACACACACCTGTAATCCCAGCTACTCAACGAGCTGAGGTGGGAGGATCACCGGAACCCAGCGAGATTGAGGCTGCAGTGAGCTGTGATTGCCTGAGCAACAGAGTGAGACTACTTCAGCCTGGGCAACCAGAGTGAGACTCTGACTAGAAAAAAAATAAAAATTAAAAAAAGTCCATCCAGGTACATTGTCCTGGGCTTTCCTAAAACATAAGTTCATCTTCTCTAGTTAATGTAGATTGCAAGGAGTGGGTGCAAGACAATTGCGTGTCTTCTGAAGAAACTTCCCTTAATCAGATAAAGGAAGTTTAGAGAAAGTTTCTCTCTGCTTGTAGATGGGTGAGGGTGGTGGGGTGAGTCAAGAGATCAGAGAGAGTTCTTGGTTCTGAGATTTATTTCTGACCCCTTTCAGTTTCCTATTATTTTTTTGAGATGGAATCTCGCTTTGTCACCCAAGCTGGAGTGCAGTCGTGTGATGTCGGCTCACTGTAAAACTCCGCCTCCCAGGTTCAAGTGATTCTTCTGCCTCAGCCTACTGAGTAGGTAGGACTACAGGCATGCACCACCATGCCTGGCTAATTTTTGTAACAATTCTTCCCACAAAGCCTCAGGGCTTTGCATTGAGTGTTCCCTCTGCCTAAAACAATTTCCTTTAGATATCTTTATTGGTCATTTCCTATTTCCCTTCATGTCTTTGCTGAAAAAAATCACATTC